TGCAACCATTCATCATGCAAAATAAGTAATTGGGGTCATTTACATTAAACTTGTCTATCGCTTAATATATATTACTAGCTGAAAAGCCCGGCGTTGCCCGTAGAAAAAAAATTTGAATAAAAGTTTTTAAAAAATTCGAATTTTTATTAGCCTATAACACCCCCCGGCCAACCATGAGTGTCCACAAAAAATTTCAGCCCAATGTAATTTACTTTTTATAAAAAAAAATATCTTTTATACCTCAGTCAATTGTATAGATACATAAAAAGAAATTGCTTTTTGAAACTCTGACAAAACATTCAATCTTTTTATGATACACTTTTCGTATGTTATCAATTATCGGAAATCAACAACGATTTTTTAGTCATAATTTAATTCCCGTGTTTATCGTGACACTCTGTGTGTTTATGTTTGTTATAAAATTAAGATGAACAAATTTGTTTTCTCAATATTCGTTTTCTTCGTTGATATATCAAGATCCTTTATACTTTCTTTTATCTTTCTCATTCAACCAAATGTTCCTCGTCAAACTAATGTATTCTGAATGTGAGATTGAAATCTTATATCTTTTTATAACCCCTCTTATTGAAGACCTATTGAGAAGAATAAAATGTTTTGAATTTCTAACATGTTACCAGAGCCCGTGATTAAAAAAATCGGGAAAATATGGCTCGGGTCTAAGCTGTCGTTGGGCCTTATGTACGGCTTGAGCTTTCGGATTCAAACTACACTTTATTTTCAACAGAGTTGAGTTCAAAAAACCGGTTTAATATTCTATTTGGCGGATTTTCATGGTAGGAATTGGCTAATTCCCGGTTTTGATGAGAACACATCTCAACATTGAGCCTTATTCTCCACTAAAACCAACCAAGGTCGGTTTTATTTTCAATGGGCCTAACTCCTAAAATCGAGTCTTTTTTATCTATCCTTTGAAATTTTCTTTCGAGTTTTCTTCTGCAATCATATATTTGTTAACCAATTGATGCTTTCTTTTTATGTACATACATATATACACATTCATTAAGTTGCATTCATTATTTCATTTTAAAACAATCCTGTTAAATTTATTAGGCATAAAAGGAGAAGTTGAAAAAATTTAAGAGAAAGTAAAAAATATTGGAGAAATAATGTAGAAATAAGTGAAATGGTATAAGATTAAGAAAGTGAATAGAGAATTTTTAAGAGAAATGTTTAAGAAAGTGAAATTGTAAAACAAAGAGTGAAAATGAGAATTCTTTAGAATGTTTGAAAATAAGAAAGTGTATAAGAAAGTGAAATAGTGCAAGAGAAAGTGAAATTGTACAAGAGAAAGTGAAATTGTACAAGAGAAAGTGAAATTGTACAAGAGAAAGTGAAATTGTACAAGAGAAAGTGAAATTGTACAAGGGAAAGTGAAATTGTACAAGAGAAAGTGAAAGTGAGTACTGTTATTGTCTGCTGTGTCCAGTGTTGAGTGAAGATATGTATGATAGGTTATGAATTAATTAGCTCAAGGGTTTCATGTGTGGTCATTCTTCCTTATATTTATATTATTGAAGGTCATGAAATTACCTAAGCATGAAAAATTAGGGGTCCATCGAAAAAAGGTTCTCTTATTATATTGATTATTGATATTTACATCTGTTCACACTCAAAAAGCAGTACACATTTCTAAAGTGCAGTACACGTACACAAACAACTTGCCAAAGTTCACAATAGCGTAGAAAGTGTATTTTCATGCCCCTAAATGTACTTTTAACCCCGATCCCGTGGAATTATATGGACCCCTGGAACCTGAAATTCTAAAGAGTATCGTTAAACGAAACTCCCGAGTTTCCTTTTTGGGGTCTTAACATTTGTGTAGATTTTGATTTAAGAGATTCGAAAAAATGGAGAATGTAAAACAAACTGAAAAAAATAATATTTCATTCAAAAATATTGATATTCACAAAATTGCCTAACCCCATTCATGAAACCCGGATTTTAAAACTGGTTTTTATAACAATACCCTGTCTTAAGTTTTGGGCTCTGTGAAATAAAGTTTTTCTCCTGTTTAGAAATAAATTAATTTAAAGGGACTGTGTGAGCAAAGGTTTATAGAGATATGTACACCTTTATCTGAGTAATAATGAAGAAATCTTAAAAAGAGATAATTCTGACAATTTCATTCCTTGTTTTTAGTGTGCATTAATGTAAGAGTACTTTTCATGAAAACCCGCTATTGAAAATCATTAATTTTGCAGAAAGAAAATTAAAAAATAGAGACACGCAAAAATCGATGAGAATTTTGGCAATTACTTAACAACAAGTGCTCTCTTCTGTTAAACGTACATGTACTGATGTACAGATAAGCATTACA